AGTTCGTAGCTGTGGGGCTCCCCTTGGTCCGAGCCCTGCACAACCTGCCCATTGCGGCTTTCACATCCCCCAAACCTCTTCGGAGACCTAATGAGCAGCAGGCTGCACCGCAAGACAAAGTCTCCCAGTCTCGGCTCCTGCAGCAAGGAGGGATCACTGGGGAGTTTGAGGCTTGGCCTGTGAAAAGCATCTTCCCTTCCCCATGTCCAGAAAGGTACAGCTGTACGGACACAGCGGCGTGCAGCACAGTGCTGCTTCGGGCTCAGGACCACGAGAGGCTCTGGCAGTGTCACCTGTGGTCTGTGGAGCGGGAGGGTACCCACAGGCACTGTCCTTCACCACTGGGCCTATGGGCTCTTGCGAACTCAATAACCACCAGATTTTGCCCCAACACGTCATTATTGAAAAGCTATGTCAGTCTTCCTTCAAGAAACTGAAACTTCAGCGCTGGGCAAGGTGAAGCCCCAATACATTTCACTGGCATAGAGTCAAAGAGAACAGACAGTAGGAGAAAGGCAGAACGGCCAAAGGTTTCCCCATATAAATCGTGTTATACCGAAAAGGCAACTGAGCCGAATCAGGAGCAGAACATGCCAAAAAGCTCACGTGGGGATTTCCCTGAACAGGACCAATAGTCTCGATCTCACCACCTGTGTGACCGGTAACACCGGTGCCATACCCAGAGCATCACTGCTGTGAGCGGGCAGCACGCACACCCCTGCGGGATCTCGACAGCCTCCCGGGGTCTGGCTCACCCCAGCACACCCTCAACCAGCCGCCCTGCAGCAACCCTCAGGCTAGAAAACATCTCTTTATAAAAAGGGGGAGTAGGGGAATCACATTGTAATTGATTAATTCAGAAATTCTAGTTAAGTGAACATTGATACATGGAAGAAAAAGCATTTTAAAAAAGAACCAATATTAGACTTGGAAATAAACATAAGTCATAACATCAACAACTGCTAAAATAACCTAAGGAGAAGTGGAAGCTGACACCAATTTTGCAGAGTCGAGCTTGCCACTTCGGGCCTGAATTAAACCCACTGGTGCTGGGGGTTCTCTGGTGCCCTCGGGGGAGCAGACCAAGGCGCGCTGTGGCCATGGTGGGGGCTCGAGGGGTCCCGGGCAGCAGCTGCAGCCCTGAGCCGAGGCTGGCTCCTGCCCGTCCATCAAGGCGTGCCGGTGTGCACCGCTGGGCAGACATCCACCCGTATCTGTCACCCTCAACATACCAACAGCTATTAACCAGTTAATGTTTCCAAAAGGAGACAGAGATGTATTCTAGGGAGCGCAGAACTTGCTGGACATTTTCTCTTAAAGCCTCATGTCCTGGAAATGGATCTGCTTCTGCTTCGCAGCAGTCACCCAAACATGCGGTGCACATACGCGCCTCTGTAGGGGAAGCGTTCACCAGGGCCGGTGATGCACACTGCGAACACCAGACCCCGCTTTCCTCCAATCTCATCAGCGTGTGCAGGGTCTCCTCCCAGTGCTGGCGCTGGTGTTTCAGTACCTCTCTCCTACTGACTCCACAGTCACCTTCCCATGAGGTGGCAATTTCACATATCACCCACCAAACCCTCTCACTTCATCCAAGCTCCCCCTGAAGTGACAGGACAGGGAAAAACCTCCTATTTCCAGACACTTAGCATGTGCTTCCATGGCAGATTTCTTTTCTGGAGTAAGACCTGCATTTGCGTTCATACTTCTCATGGTTACATCTGTCAGCCTTTAAAAGGTGTAAGAATATTCATGGAAATAAAAAAATCGCGCCAGCTACAGTAATGAAAAGCCTCGTGCTTTTGTTCACTGCCCAGAGAAGGCTGTTCTCTACACTGCTGCTTTTCATTGGTCTTCACATTTTCTCTTTCTCAAAACTTCGAAACAGAAAAACAGAAAAAAGTCCCCTCTCATCTGCCACATTTTTCTAAACTATCTAAAATAACATTAAAACAAAACGTAAAGATACCTTAACTGCCTACAACATGATGTTACATCAAACGCATTTCTTTTAGCACTGTCATTTTTATCAAAAGCCTCCTCATACCAGGACAGCACAGGGGAAGCGGGGTGATGACCAGTCAATCTACCCGGTGGATCCACGCAGGAATGGCCAGCAGATCACAGAGCAGTTTGGCAAGAGAACAGTAAAATTACTTTCCAGGTACACAGGAATGTCCAAAATACCATGTCAATGCAATGTGCCAACCTGCTCAGCAGCTCTGATCAAGGACAAACGCACAAGGTCAGAAAGGTGTCTGAAGTAACTGATAGAGCGACGAGTAACATACAAATATATTATCCTTTAAGAAGGTAATGACAGTGATAATCTGTTCTTCCCATGGGTAGCTCTGAGGTGTGGGGCTTCTTCAGCCCCAGGACACAGTCCAGAGGATTGCGCAGTCCCCGCATGACGTCTGCCACGCGCCCCGGCCCAGGGCCATCGCTCCTCGTGTCCCCGTGCCACGGGCAGGGCTCCTGGCAAGCCGGGCCAAGTCCATGAACGATGCACAGAACGGTTACAAAGAGCAAAACGCATCACTCGTGGGCACTCTTGCTATTAGCTTTTCTGAACTACTTCTGCAGAAAAAAGCACGAGCAGTATTAACAAACCCATGTACGTCGTGTCACGCTCTGTACCGGAGCAAAGGAAAAGAGGCCGCTGCCCTGTTCACTTCGCCTGCCCCTCCACCCCGGCTTTCGGGCTCAGGGTCCCCTGGTGGAAAGCTGGCTTTCTGAGCAGCAAAGGCTGCCAAGGGCCAAAAGTGGCTCTAAGCACATGTG